TTTTTGCTTTTTTCTTCCTGAGATTAGGCCCTTTGAAACTATAGAAAGAGGAATTGATTGAGCCATAAATTGTCCGCTGATGTACTCCAAATCTAGATCATTTGTCTCATGCTGTAATTCCCTAAGCATAATCTTTCATTTGGTTGGGTGGAATTGTTGTAACCACACTGATACAAATATTAGTCCAAAACCCTGCAAGGGAGCCAGATGTACCATAACTTTTGGTACTGTGGGATATTAAAGCAATAACTGATTCTTCTTTCTCCGATGATACAAAAGTTTCATTCAGATGTTAGAGCTGCAACTATTTTTATAATCCAATTGGGATTTTCGGGAGAAATTTTGTAATCATTGACATATTAAAATCAGCTTGATGGCCTTATTCTTTCGTATCATAAACCTCTCAAGCATGGTTGTAACGTTAAACTGGCTGGAGGAACAAGATACCTACCCTAAATTCTCCTACACCAGTGGCTCGCGAGCTATTGAATCTGGCGTACGAGAAGTTCCATGACAAAACAGAAAGTGAACAAAAAAAACAGATTAGTGCAGTTGCATACTAATTTAAGATATATCCTGGATTATTAGTCTTGCATTTCTGTTGTTTTGGATTGATTCAGAGGTGGAACTCGTCAGGGATGCTACCCTGGGTTAGGGTTGGGTTGAACTAGAGAAAAGGTGGAGTCACAAGTAAGGCACTTTATGTTTGAACAGTAACTCCACTTCCAATCTTTGGGGCATTCTGCATCAAATAAGAATCTTGAGAGTTTCAAGTCCAAAGGCTACTTTTTTTTTTTTTTTGTCAAAATGATAACATTTGTATTGATTTAAACTTGATAATACAAGAGCACTTTACAAAAGGAGCTCATTGCTCTCATAATCTATTCTTGCTAGATCTTTAATCCAGCCAGGGAAACATGATTCCCAATATACATCATTAACTAGCTTCAAGGCAAACTTTGCTAGCCTATGACACACTTCATTCCCTTCCCTATGTATAAAAGAGAAGTTGCATTGCTCAAAAAACTCCCTCAGTTGTTGTATGTCCTCCAGTATCACAGCACAGTTGCTGTTGTTGCATGAGACGGTTAAGATACAGTCTATCACATTCTTGCAGTCTGATTGTACTTCGATTCTTCTCCAGCCTGCTGCCTTTCCCAATTGCATTGCAGCTCTAATTGCTGCAGCTTCCTCAATTTCTGGTTCCCCCAACTTCTCCTCCATTATGGCCCAAGCTTTCAGCACCTCTCCTTTCCAGTTTCTAGCCACTATTCCTTTACCAGTTCTGATCGATTGTGTTGAGATTGCAGCATCAGTATTAATCTTGTTCACACCTTCCATTGGAGGTTTCCATCGTCTATCATACTGATTTGGAGTTGCTTCAACAATGCCAGCTCTACTTTCTAGTTCCACAGCTTCCTTGAATTCTATCCACTCTTGTTGAGCTTTCCTTACCACTGAAATTTCCTCCCCTTTTGCGTTGTTGAAGACAATCTGGTTCCTTGCCTTCCATATTTGCCAGAGGAGATTAATTGTTAATTCTATATGCTCCTTGCCATTGACTCTTTGAGAAGCTTCTAAGATTCCTTCCCACCATCTCCAAAAGCAAGCCTGCAGATCTATTAATCCATCCCAGTTGATTGGACTGATTTTCCAGATTCTCTTTGCATATTCACAATCAAAGAACAGATGCTCTATAGTTTCAATTCCCTCCCCACAGCTTTTGCAAATGTTGTTCCCCATCCCTGTTCTGCCGTGCACCAAGTCATTGACTGGAAGACAGTTGTGTAGACATTTCCACATAAAATGTTTCAGTTTGTGTTTGACATTTGTTCCCCACAACTTCTTCCACATACTTTCCTTCCTGTTATGGCTACTTGTCTTCTCCTTGAGCTGCATTGTTTTAGTTGCCTGTGCCTCCATTTCCTTTGCTAAAGTATACCCTGACCTCACTGTATATTCCCCATTCTTTGAGTAATGCCAGATGATCCTGTCTCTCCTTTGGTACATACTGAGTGGTATCCTTACAATCATTTGGGCCGTCTCTCTGCTGAAAACTTGATTTATTAGCTCCTTATCCCATTGCCCTTGTTTAATCAGGTCTTTGACATATTGGATGCTTCCCAATGCTGGTCTATCATGTTCCATTCTACCATCTCTTGAAACAGGTATCCATCTGTCTTGCCACACCTTGATTGTACTTCCATCCCCAACTTGTTTTCTTATTCCATTTTTCAAAAGGAATCTGGCGCTCAGAAGACTCTTCCATAGGTATGATGCTGAAGTAGGGGCATGCTTCATCCAGTCAGATTCTCTTTTCATATATTTAGCTCTCATAACTCTACTAACAAGCCTGTTAGGCATAACAATGATTCTCCAGAGTTGTTTTGCTAGCAAAGCTGTGTTGAAAATTTCCAGATCTCGAAAGCCTAGACCACCCTTTCCTTTAACCTCAGTAAGTGCCTTCCAATTCGTCCAGTGTATTTTTCTTTGATGCTCGTCTGCCCCCCACCAAAACCGTGCCATTTGTTTACTAATGTCTCTACACATTCCTTTTGGAATTCTAAAGCATGACATTGTGTAATTTGGGAGTGCCATTATCACTGATTTCAGCAATACTTCCTTTCCAGCAAGACTCAGTAGATTTCTTTTCCAGCTTTGTATTCTCTGTGTTACACTTGCTTTTACTTCCCCAAAAACCTGATTCTTTGACCTCCCTATCACCATAGGAAGACCAAGATACTTCCCACTGAATGCTTCTCTTAGATTTCCAAGTATACTGCATACTTCCTGTCGGGTATCCAAATCAGTGTTCCTACTGTAGTAGATAGCAGACTTGTCCAAGTTGATTAGCTGTCCAGACGCTCTTGCATATTTGTTCAGTAGCTCTTGAACCTTCCAAGCTTCCTGGTTTGTGGCTTTGCAGCAGAGCAAGGCATCATCTGCAAAAAAGAGATGTGTAATGGGGGGGCACTTTCTTCCCACTTGGATTCCTGTCCACATTTTACTTGCTGCAGCTTTGTTTATCAAGTTTGAGAGTGCCTCCGCCACAAATAAAAAAAGGTAGGGGGATAATGGGTCTCCCTGTCTTAAGCCCCGCTTAGGTTGGACATATCCTACTTTTTCTCCATTAAGATTAAAAGAATAGGAGACAGTAGAGAGGCAATTCATAATCCATCTAACCCAAATGGGGCAGAATCCCATTTTTAGCATTATTCTTCCCAAAAATTGCCATTCCACTCTGTCATAAGCTTTAGACATGTCAAGCTTGATAGCCATAAAGCCTATTCTACCTGTTCTTTTATGTTTTAGGAAATGCATAACCTCGTGAGCTAGGAAAACATTATCTAGGATCTGTCTGCCTGGCACAAAGGCAGATTGAGATTCAGAAATGCACTTAGACAGGATCTTTTTCAGCCTATTTGCCAGGATTTTGGAAACAATTTTAAAAAGGACATTGCAAAGACTGATTGGCCTGTAGTGATTAATATTAGTAGGAGCAGACACTTTTGGGATCAGAGTAATCAGGGTTTCATTGACTGCCTTCAGCATATACCCACTGTGAAAAAAACTCTTAATAGCACTTACTACATCCAAATTTATGATATGCCAATATTTCTGGAAAAAAAGAGGTGACATACCATCAGGACCTGGCGCTTTATTTGGATGCATAGAAAATACAGCAGCTTTGACTTCCTTTTCCTCCACAGGTTTGATCAAATTTTCATTCATCTGCTGAGAAATTGTATGGGGGACACCATCGAGAACCTCTTCAATGTTAACCGGTTGTGATGTATTGAAGATGTTGCTGTAATGATTACCAATCTCATCCACCAGTTCTTCCTTTGTTTCACACCAGCTTCCATTCTCTTTTTGCAAGGATGAAATCCTATTCTGTCTCCTTCGTATCCCCACAGAGGCGTGAAAAAAGGCAGTGTTTTTATCTCCATGCTTTAACCATTTGTTTCTTGCCTTTTGAGCCCAGTAGATTTCCTCATCCCTATATGCTTTGCCCAACTTGCATTTCAGTTCATCTATAGTGTCCCTTCTTTGACCAACTTCCATCTGCTTGGCTTCCTCAATTTGTTTTTTCAGCCTTTGTATTACCTCTCCTGAGTTGTTCCTTTTCTTCCTACTCCATTCCATCAATGCCAATCTGCATGCTTTGATCTTTCTTGTCACTTTAAAAAACCTGGATCCTTGTTGTTGTTCCTTCCAAGCAGTCGAAATCACAGTATTAGTTTCCTCCTCAAAGGTCCATCTCTGGTCAAAGTAAAATCTCCTCTTGTAATTCTTCTCAACAGGTTCAGTATCCATTAGAACAATACAGTGATCAGATGCTTCCTTATGCAAATGTGTACATCTTGCATTCTTGAAATGTTGGATCCATCCTTGGTTTGCTAGGCATCGATCAAGTCTTTGCTTGACCAGCCCACCTCCCTCCCATTGATTAGACCAAGTCCATGGCACACCTTCAAACCCAAGGTCTATCAGTGCATTGCTATCTATAAACTCTCTAAAATCTTTGAAACTGCTCTCAGGTCTACTTCTCCCACCCCATTTCTCCTCATTTGACAGAATATCATTTAAATCACCAGCCATCATCCATTGCTCTCCCCACTTTCCTTTTTCTTGGTTGATAATTCTCCACTGTTCCCTCCTTATTCTGTCATCAGTGCTTGCATACACACCAATGAACCACCAACTGAACTGTTTGTCCTTTTCCTCAATCTTAGCTTCAATGTAAAAACCCCCACTATTGACATACACCACATCCAACTCACTATTCCACATTAACGTTAGACCCCCGGCCTTGCCCAAAGCATCAACAACAAAGCACTTCTCATAGTTTATTCTTTTCCTAACCTTTTCCATGACCTTTTTTTGGTTTTTGGTTTCACAGAGAAAAATTAAATTAGGAGAGTGGAGATTGATTATCTCCTTCAGCTGGGGAACTGCCAAGGGGCCTCCTGCACCTCGGCAGTTCCACACCGCCACCTTCATTTAGACTGTGGAGGCAATAAGGGAATAGCCTCCAATTTCCCCGTCTGGTCACAGGTGTGCAGTTCTATCTTCATAATCTTGTTCTTTTCTTGATCCTGGCCAGACTCTAGCATTTCAACATCTTCATTCCACTCACTGGTTTTCCTTTTTCCCCCATGCGATTTAACCACAGATATGTTATTTATACTGCCCAATTGTACTCTTGTCCTTCTTGTGAACTTTCTTTGTTTTGGTTCATATCCCCCCTTGCTTCCGTGCTCCTGTCTCTCCATGTTTTCCTTATTTCCTACGTTCTCCATCATTTCCTGATCTCCTACATTTTCCTCTCTTCTCTCTTGAAGTGCTGTTACCTCCCAGACTTTCTCCTCATTTCTTTCCAAGCCTTTCCCTTCATGTTGCCCCTGTGGTTCTGGAGCTATTTTAAGTTTATCCCCTAAACCTTCCTGTTTTTCACTTTCCGTTTTGGTGTCCATCTGGCCCTCTTTATACTCCTCCTTCCCTTCCTTATCCTGAACCTTTGTATCTGCCTTTCGTACTCCACAGGTATTATCAAGCTCTGGTTTTCCTCTACCTAATATTGGTATAACAGCAACAAGATTCCCATCCTTGCAATTTTCCTCAAAATCATTGTTTCTTTCCTTTCCTCTTGTCTCCTTATTCCCTCGGAACCGTTGTGTTCCACTCCCCTGTATTTCCTCCATCGTCTCCATTGTCCTGGTCCTCAGAGGTGAAGCCATGATATTTCCAGCTTTCATCCACGCTCCAAATTGGTCTTCTCTTAAGTTGTACTGATTTAGTCCTTCATTGTTACATTTCTTATCACCATGACCAATAATTCCACACCTGTAGCAAAAGTCCGGACACTTTTCATACTTAAATTCAACCCATTGCTGTACTCCATTCAACTTGACCCTTGTTCCTCTTGCCAATGGTTTTGCTATGTCCATTTCAGCCAAAATCTTCATGTGTCTTCCTGCCTTTCCTCCACTGGAAGGGATAATGACTTCCCTTACAGATTTGAAGATGTCTCCGATCTTAAAACCCACAGCCTTACTCATCCAGTGGATCGGCAAATTCCAGATTTGGACCCACAGGTATGCACTATTAAACACCTCCATTTTCCTCTCTATCCCAGCCTCCCATTTCTTGATAACCAGTAGTTGGTTGTCTATGACCCAAGGACTGCCATAAAGAGCTTTTTCCATTTCTAGTTCAGATTCGAAATGGAACTGAAAAAGATTGGCTTTGAGTTCAGTGACCTTTAAATTTCTTGGATAGCCCCACACATGAGCTGTGAAGTTCTTAATCCCAGTGAAATTTGTAACCTTTTCCCCAATAACTTTTCCCATCAGACTTAATTGGCATTCCTCTACGCTTTGTTGGATATCCTCAAAGCTCAGATCGACTCCTTCCTCTTCCTCTGGGTTCAGGTCAAATCTTTTGAAAGCAAAAGTGAGATCGTCCGCCATTGTTGAGTTCTTTTAGGTGTCCCCACACCAACTTCCAGTAATGTCTGAAAATGAAATCCAACCTGTGGACTACAACGTAAAAGCCTTAGATTTTCAGATTAACTAGAGATAAAGATAGAAGGAAAGAGAAAAGAAACGGTAACTAAAGAGTGTGCTGAGAAACCCAGTACCAGAGAAAAAGTCTAAAAGAAAACTATCATAACAATCCTAAAGAAACAAGGTAGATATATTATTAAAGCTATCAAGCCATAAATGCCCAAGCTTGCTGTCCAGCCGAGTGAGTTTTGGAGTTGCCCTGTAAGTGATTCTCCTTTAATGCCACTTAAAAGTTTCCTCGCCAGGCTTCCGACACTGTCTTCGTATTCAGGGATAGATTAACGTCAAGTGCTGAATTAATCTGTGATTCCTCTTTACTATGGTGCCTCTCAATTGGATCGAAGATGGTGTGAGAATTGGTGAAGCGGGAACTTTGGCGCAGTATGGAGATTGGTGCCGTTTTGAATTTTTAAAAAACTCCTACCTTGAGGAGGGAAAGCTCTCTGTTCTAGAGAGAGAAGCTCCTACAAAGAAGAGTTCCGTTACCTAGTTACCTCCCCAAAGGCTACTTGAGAGATGACATTTATCAGAAAATGCTGAGACTAGAAAAGCCCTATAATGCAATGTTGATTTGAGGTATAGACTTCGGTTCCAGCGTCCCCATAGCTGACATTCTTTCCCCAGTTGAGTGCCAGTAAAACGCACCAACTACTGCATCGACTGGCGTTGGTTCAATTCTGGTATAGTTTTTAATCAACGATACCAAAACATAGCCTTGAAGTCATCCTACAAACCCAAGGTTTCATTGTAGATTCATAACCGTACCTACATGTATGTATTGTAAAATTGCTTGTAACTTGTCTTTTCCAGCCTTTTAGGTTTCACTGACCAAAGTGAAATATGCGGGAAATGACACCAAATAGTGCTGCAGATTCAAGATTTTTTTTTCCCTATAACTACAGCATCTTAACCAAAAATGGGAAAACCGCGATGAGCAATCTCAACAACAAAGGTGTATCACTTTTCTTAGTTCTCATACTCAACCTACCGTTCTCTGGAGGTGAATTCTTTGATTTGCCTACACTTTGACCTGAACTACTTGAAGATCCTATATCAAACTCACTCAAACCGTCTAGCTCACCCCATCCGCCAAATGTTGGTGCATTCTTTTCAACTTGATCAGTTGAATCATCATGTCCAGGAACCCATGATTGACACCCCATCTTTGCTTTTTTCTTCCCTGGATTCGTTGCTCTTTTTTCTTTACCCCGCTCGACAGTTCTTGAAGATCGGGGATATGATCTACTCTTAGTCTTGGTCTTGCGCTTTGGTCTCTTGTCTTTCCCACCCAGCATCTTTTGGATTGCAAACGAAAAAGTAGACTGCCCAAGAGGAAGCGCTAAAGCCATAAGAAATGCTTTCAGACCAGTTGCTAGCAGTATTGAAGCAAGGATGAAGGGAAGTGCCCAACCAAACGATCTGAAGACCTGCACTGGCCAACAAGAGATTTTTTAAAACACAACTTAGACCAGTTTTATTCCAACTTGAAACCAAAAGCTGTGGAAAAGTCTTTATTTGGATAATGCAAAGTGTAGCTTAATTTGAAGCATTAATTGGATAAAACCTCAAAAGAGTACATTTGAAGTGCTATATTGCTTAACAACTCATAGGTAGAATCGAACTTACTCTACTTAATTACATGTTACATGTGAGGAATGCAAAATTTCACCATTGATCACCTTCAGTGTGTTGGATTTGATACCTGCAAGTCCTTCCATTCTATTAACATTCTATTTTTCTAGCATTCCAATTAGATACTGTTTGACCCATATTTAGTTTAAAATTTAGCATGCATCATAAACTCTCAAGGCATTTAATAATTCAATGGTAAAATTTCAGAATAATATGCTTGTAGAGTTTACAAAATAGTAGTTACACTTGATGTAATTCAATTCCTTTTCTAAATATCATGGGTATATTCTAAAGTTTCACCAATTGTTCCCCAATGTAAAGTTGGTTTGACCTCTATGAAAAATTTTATGTTACATAGCTTTTTACCAAATAAAAATCGGATGATTAAAGGCCGATAGTTCTTTTCTAGCAAAGACCTTTGAGGCTTGATCTGACAACATTCTTATGCATACATGGCGAAGTGGAAGTGGTCTCTACTCCAGTTGTTGTCTCTTCATCTAAGTCCAGAATTTAGTAATGACTGAATGTTATCTAGCCACTATTAAAGGAAACATGAGTTGGAAAAAGTTAGATGTCTATTTGGTCTGCAGAAAATTGTCATGTAGCTATGTGAAGAATGCAGGGGAAGGTATAAAGTAATACATGTACTACAGTGCACAAAAGTACAATATGCAGCAGAACAGCCAAAATCAGCAATTTATTTGGAATTCTATGTTATTGCAGACTTCTCATTTGCAATGAATTAGAATTGGATTCCCAACAGATTTGGTTCTTTGTCACAGTAAATTTGTTTGGTAAAAGATGCAGGAAATTAGGAAACACTTTGATCAGGAGAAATCGAGTTAGTTTTAGTTTCTGCCCTTCCTCAATCTTTACCTTTTCTTTTGCAATTTCTTTTAGCACTTATTGTAGGATCAAGCATAATTACATTATCAACTGCAATTAACATCTGATTAGCTAAATTCTTAAGTACTCATTTTTCTGTACCACTACATCAAACTCAAGGAAGTTGAGCTTAAGTACTTACTTAGCAGATATTAAAGGAACCATTTACAAGAGAAACACTTCAAAAATAGTGCCAGTTAAAACTTTCATACATCCAACAAAACCATTAGCATGAACAATTCCTCTAAGTCCATGCCTAAAAACATAATTAACTTAATATGGAACTGAAAACTTCCATTTCAACACAAGAATAATCATTCTCTTATAAGAAAAGCACAGAAAAACAAAGAAAGGAATACCTTAATAATCCAAATACTGTCAATATAGTCTTCAAGAACCCCCAGCCCTTGTTCCACAATGTCATCATTTCCAGTGTCATCATCATAATTATCATCATCTTCTTCTTCATCAAAATTATGATTGAAGTTCCGGGTTCTGAAAGACTCTGCATTGGAGTCCCACCTGCGACACCTGCAAATTTGGAGCACTGGCTGGAGAAGAAGATTATGGTTGTACGGTATAGTAGTGGTTGCGGTGGACGTGAGCTGGAGGCGTGGCTGCCAACTCCCTGGTGGTTGTTGACGGTGGTAGTGGTGGTGGTGGAGTATGAGAAGTGGAGGAGAGGGAGAATGACACGGTTGGAGGAGAAGACCACAAGTGTTAGTGGTCTTCATTAGTCGTTAGTCGTTACCATCCTCAAGCATTGGGAAAAGGGATCGTTGTGATATTAGCTTTTGTCCCCAACACAACTTATATTTACGCATTTCTTTCCTGTCATCTTCTTTATATTTACCCTTGTCAATGCAACTTTAGATTTGGGATAAATAAACCAAACCTCATGGATTTGTGAGGAGGGGACTTTGTTATAGTTATACTAAACTCGAGGCTCCGCATGGATTAGACAGGTGTACGTGAAAAATTTTTACTGTAATTTTGTTATTTGTATCTTAATAAGCGATATGAATACTCTTTTTTGTATTTTTTATTTTCCAAGCACACACTTTTTGTTAATCTAAGTGTGCTTGTTCATATTTATTGTTACCATTTATAATTCTGCACTTTCTTGATTTAAATTTATTTAGAAACTAACATCTCATCATTGAGGTCAAAGATGAAGAGATAGTTACTTTAGAAATTTTGCAACTCATAACTAATTAATGTCAAAATTAACTGTCCAAATTGATTTGGTTAGCAATTTTACGTTCTCATAATCATGTGATCCCATTCTTATTCGATAGTATAGTATTTTTTTTTGTAATCTTATACATTATTTCAAATGGTTAATGATAATTTCTGAAATCTTTTTTTCCAATCCTAAGAATTTCCTAACTTTCTTCCCTTATTAGCTCCTCTTCTTCTGCACATTCTAGTGTGCAACCAAATAAGACTTGAAGCATGGCTGTTAATAGTTATCAACTAAAAAATCTTGAGCTCATATTTTTGGTTGAAAACACCAAATTAATTAATATTAGCTTGGCCTTATGTTACATAAGCTTTTTTACTAAACATAACACAATTTGCTATCGAATTATGTTGATTGTAGAGCATTTTATACTTTTAGTTTTTGTATGTTGATAGGAAAATAATAAAAACAATAAAGTAAAGCTTAAAAAAAATCACCAATTTGTCTCCTTTTAATTTAAATTAGGTTAAATCCCTTAGAATTGGAATGTGGCATAAAGTGATAACCATTTGAAATTGAGGAGGTGTGGAAGAGGAGTCCAACTTATCCAAGAGAATGAAAGGAAAGAGAATTACTCATGTGGTGCTACTACAATTGTTAGAACTTGCGGTCTCCAAAGTAAATTACACGCTTCCGTCAGGGACCGCACTCAAATTTTATGAAAATCTTCATCCCCTTCTTTTAAAGTCCAGAATCTTCTCTTCTCGGTTCCCACAATAATAAATAATTCAGGAAAAAAAAATCAGAAAAAATCAGAGGGAAAGATTATGAAGCCAATGCCGATCGATTTCTTTGCGGACCTGGAGGAGCAAGGAACAACCGTCGCTATGGACGTGGACGATGCTGAAGCCCTAGAGATCTTCGGCGGCGGAGAAGGGCCTATCGCCGCCTTGGAACACCACCGTCTCGCCGATGCTGATTTCTTCAATTCTTTCCAGGACGACTTCGACGACTCCGACATCAACTAAAATAATAATCAATTGCTAGTTATTACCAGTCCTTAATCGCCCACCCCCAGGGTTTTGAATTTTCGGTTTCTAAACTCTAATTACGTATGTTATGTGATTAGTTATGAGGCTGTTGATGGAATGGTGGTTTTGTGGATGTTGGATTATGGAATTTTATAAAGATAATTGAATTATCC